TTGCGTTCGCCGTCTCAATCTTATTAATTTCTTTTACATTTTGAACATTAATGTATTACAGCAAGTGTTGAGATAATGTCGCTGCGTAAAATCTATACCGACTGTTTGCAGTAAGTGTGAATGGGGCTCTTCAGGGCATGGGGATGTTTCGGACTTTGCCTTTGAACTCAGCGTGGGTCACGATTTGTGTGTTTTGTGATTATCTTGAAGAAGTTGTTTTGCTTTATCAGACAGTCCGTCGAATATCCGCCTATTGCGGCGCCATAGATAAACTTTCTTTGCAAATTTCTCCATAGATATGGAGGGCACCAAACATCTCTGCGCTTGAATGAGTGTATCTGAAAGTCAAGGTCAAAATGATCAATATCAAATGGGACGCTTTTTTGAGATTAGTTATCTGTTATATCCACTAATCAAGTATCTTATTATAGAGTCTCGTCCAACTCTTCCTTTGCTTCGCCTTTGTACACAAACTTCAGAAAAAGAAAATCTCATCGCACGAACGAGCATCGAATCGATCAAACATATTCAAACATTAAGTATCATCCGTTTGGCGATTTTTGAACGAAATCTGAGTATCAGATATGTATAGAAAGTCAAAGGCATACGTTCCTTGCAAAAAACTGCTGAGGTCGTAAGCGAGAACCTCTCGCTATGCTTTCTGCGTGGTAAGAGCGCATTAGGTCGCTGAAAGGGAAGGTACCGGTTGGACATTTGCAACAACTACGCACTTCTCTCCATCAGGGCTGGTGGTAGCAGTCCACGGGGTGGAGCCTATTTTGGCGCTCTCTTGTCCCCTTGCCCTTTCTGCGGCTTTTTTCTATCAACTGGCAACACTCTTTCCCTCATGTGATCCTCGAAAGATGCAGAATCGCGAGCTTTATTAGTCACATTTTCAGCGTTGGCGATCCAGATACCAGTAAACAAATATAGATTGTTGTCGGTTATTTATATTATATCGTTTATATTTATATTTATATTATTTCGTTGCTTTCAAAACATACCTTCTCTCTTTCGCACAGAAGCACATGCGCTTCGTGCTCAAAATGAAATTGGCCGATGTTGCACATTACTTCTTCCCAAAGCTTGTTCATCGCACGATGGAACAGCTTTATCTCCTAATGCAAATATTATAACCCTCATAATAAAAACACTCCAGCTTACCTTATATGACGGTTTAGTTAAACCTTCCTCGAACAGTCGCCGTATCACGGCAGTATCCTCTTCATTCAATATTTTCTCCAACATTTTTACTTTGTTTACCTCGTCAAGGATCTAGAAATCTGGTCTTAATCAAGCTTACAACTTTTTAGAAAACTACTATTCAAGGTCAGCTCCTACACGTTTTTTAATGCGGAGCGATCTGAGGCATTTGAACCCCCTCCCGCTCCAATCTCCATTTATCGCTTAAGTATAAGGCCTACCTTAACATAGCTACAAAAATTCTCCGTCTCCTCAATTCAGCACGGCCCTTGAGAGAGCTCTCACTTGAGCGTGAAATATTAGTGTTGTGCACTCATCGAAAGCCAACAGAAAGCAAAAACCCGCTCATACCTTGTATAGGAGAGTTGCTACATCGAGATGATAGGCGTGCCTCTAACCAGAGTGAGAATACTTGGAACTAGACTTATCTGACTCCAATCGGCTAAAGGCTAAGACAGAGTTTTGTTGAAAGTTCGAAGAAATGGTAATAGGCAAGCGGGCACCGGAAAAATAGTCCACTGATTTCTTGCTGTCCGCTTGCAATATTCGGAAGACTTTCGACAATTTTTGAGGAACGCTTAGAGAACAATTGCGGCTTTTTGGTAGATTGCACAGATAATCGTCGGGGTCCGCAAGCTCGCGCTATTCTGCAAGCGGTCAGCAAAATTTTGGGGGGCGGACAAACCTTCAGCGAGCGGTACTTCCGTGTT